ATATATTAATCTTCAACCAGCAATTTGTACGGATTATTTACTGAAAATGTGCAAATTGGAATGTTGGAAATCTTAGGTACTTTACAGTCCCTCATGACACTCAGGGAAATTTTTGCCATTATTTGAAAAATACACTTAAATTAATGAAGAGTTTAAGAATTATTTTAAAAAAAACAACTGAAAGAAAATGGAAAACTAAAAGACTTCAGCAAAATATTAAACACCGCCTGGCTGTTACAAAATTAAGAATTTCTGTGCATAGATTACCGACTCCAAATCAGGAAGGTTTGCTACCCAAAATTTTTTTAAAATTTTCGTACACTGAAATGGCATTTCCAGCGTTTTGGAGTTTGGAAGAACTTGTAAAGTTTTAAATCCATTTTTAATTTGCAAGTGTGATAAGGCAGATCAAAGTTGTTGATTATATTAGTTGTTAGTTATTCGCTTGATTTGGTTAGATTGCAATGCCATGTCTACAAACTACATGAAGGTAAATGTCGTAGATGACAGCAGATGACTGTAGATGACACTAGATGACAGTAGATGACAGTAGATGACTGTAGATCACACTAGATGACTGTAGATCACACTAGATGAGGATTACACTAGATGACGGTAGATGACACTAGATTACGGTAGATGACGGTATATGACACTAGATGACGGTAGATGACACTAGATGACAGTAGATGACAGTAGATGACGGTAGATGACAGCAGATGACTGTAGATGACACTAGATGACACTAGATGACGTAGATGACTGTAGATCACACTAGATGACTGTAGATCACACTAGATGACGGTAGATGACACTAGATGACGGTAGATGACGGTAGATGACAGTAGATGACACTAGATGACACTAGATGACGGTAGATGACAGTAGATGACACTAGATGACAGTAGATGACACTAGATGACGTTAGATGACACTAGATGACGGTAGATGACACTAGATGACGGTAGATAACACTAGATGACGGTAGATGACACTAGATGACGGTAGATGACAGTAGATGACACTAGATGACGGTAGATGACGGTAGATGACAGTAGATGACAGTAGATGACACTAGATGACGGTAGATGACAGTAGATGACAGTAGATGACACTAGATGACGGTCGATGACGGTAGATGACAGTAGATGACAGTAGATGACTGTAGATGACGGTAGATGACACTAGATGACACTAGATGACGGTAGATGACACTAGATGACACTAGATGACAGTAGATGACAGTGGATTACACTAGATGACACTAGATGACAGTAGATGACACTAGATGACGGTAGATAACGGTAGATGACACTAGATAACAGTGGATAACGGTAGATGACACTAGATAACAGTGGATAACGGTAGATGACACTAGATAACAGTGGATAACGGTGTACATGTGATTATAGAGCGAGTGTGTCTCATATTCGCGTATATAGGACATGGTTTATTACCCATTTTTGGCTTTTTCACAGGAATGATATTTGGTCTTGATGAGTGAGCATGCGCAATGGCAGCCATCTCAACGGTTGTCAAAGACGCTGGCGGCTGATTTCAAAATAATTTGCAAAATAAAACGTCCTGGAAAGCTAAAATGAACTTCGTTTTATTAAAATTAGATGGAATTAAACATATAGTTTGTCAAGACTGAGTTTTATGATCAAATGTGTGTGCGTTTGCTTGTTGCAAGGAATCTCAATACGGTGCCAGGAGTGAAGTCACTCAAGTGTAAATTTAGTTTGGTGATATTTTTAGACGTACAGTTTGATAAACTAGACAATCTATAAGGTAAGATTTACGTGTATCAACTAAACTGGATTGACAATACACTTTGTTTGTTGCACTTTTACCCCAATGAAGGTTATATCCCCATGTTTCACTGATCTTGAGGAAATATCGTCATATCGACATGAAAACGAGTCATCGAGGTAAAATGCAATAAACATTATATTATGACTATGAGTACTGGGTTGCTCCAGAAAAGATCCACACTCCCACAAAGGACATTTTTGCAGTCTGGAGAGGGACAGGAGAAAAAATTGTTTCTGACAATGTCATATCAGACCCATTTCCTCCACGGACACGTGGCGTACTGGGATAGTGTAGAGCAGGGCTGGCCTGCTAAAAGGACATCTTGCTAGGTATAAATATAGTGATGTGCCAATATGTGTATCGGTATATCGGCCCTAAATCAAAATATCAGTATCGGTATTTTTGTTGCCGATATAATCAGACTCAGTATTGTATTATTAACAAATTTATACAATATATTTTAAATTTAAAGTATATTTTGGATTCCATTTGGGTTGTAATGCAACTCAGTGACTCGAATGCATCAATGTAAATTTATTATATAGCCATATTCAAAGATATCAATGTATACATGTATGATAAGTGTTAATCCATGATTGGCCACTTATGATGAAGTTTCTACAGTAAGTCCAGTTGTCATTTGTGAATTTCAAAGTAAAATAGAATGTTGGTATCAGTTATCAGACATTGAATATTGGAATATTGGTAAATTTCAACACATATCCACATTTTGCCAACATTGATGTTACAAGTTCTTGCTTGAAATCACCATGACATGATTCCAAGCAAGAGGTTCTGTCACCATAGTTAACCCTTTAAGTGGCAATGTGCCCAGATGCACCCTACTTTATTATTTTACTTTGTCTAACACCAGATTATTATTGTCAGGGGAGAGTGTTGTTGAACAGGATTTATTTTATGTTTTTAAATGGATTATGCAAGCTCATGTCCAAGCAGTCAGAAAAAACCCTAGCCATTTGCACACTATACTATACATTACTGCAGCTGGTGTCAACTGAATCCAGATTTATTTTGTTAGCAGTTATCAGTTATGGCTGGAGAACAAGCATTATCCCAGACTGAGATTCTTCAAAAACTAGAACGAGTTGGCAATTTAGAGTCGGTGGTCACAGAACAGCGCATGAGAATGGAAAAACTGAAGACAACATATGAAATGTTAAAAGCTGAACATATTCAACTGCAAGAAGTGTGTAAACTGAAATTCCTTATTTATATACAGACTAATTTGGACAATAATTACGACTGAATCTAAATGCATCATGCCTGCCCAAAGAAGGGCCATCAATCAAAACATCAAAGTTCTCCTTGTATTTGTCGGGTGGTTGTATCCCTATCAATCCTAAACTTACAATACTGGGGCCAGTTGTTCGAAAGGCGATCAGCTTAACCCTAGGTTTAAAACCTAAAATTCAAAGCAAACTTCCTGCGAGCTTGTCTATAAATTTGGAAATATTTCTTCAGAGATCTTGTTTGGGTCGATAGGACATTACTTCTCTGAAGTTTTGAAATAAACAGACGTGCAGAAATACACAAACTAAAACAGCAGGTTAAATTTTACGTAACCCAGGGTTAGTGCTAACCCACGACCAGCCCCTGTGTACCAATGATTACAGCTATATATGTAATTTAGAAAAATGTAATTTATTTGATCTTTTTTTTATCCTGAAGCAAAAAGAGCGAAGTGAGCGGGGGTCAATTGAAGCAAGAGAAGAAATGAAAGAGATGCAACGACAATGCCAGGATCTTATCACGAAAGCAAGGGCAGAGAAAGATGCCAAGATACAAGAGAATGAGGAACTCAGATCTCAGGTTAGGACAATCCTATGATTGTCTTACATTTACATATTCGACAGTATGCTCTTGTACATCTGAGTTGTTTAATTTACCATCAATTGTGCTACACCTTCAATTGGTGAGAAAAAATCCTCTGACCTTGGCCATGGGTAAAACAGTTAGGCCTTTAACATGGCTCTGCACGAAGGGGCACAGCAATGTATTTGCATTAGAAACTGTATGAAATGGAAATGGAAAAGTGTCTGATAGTGTATAAAATAGATGCCAGTAATAAGAAGATCAACTAACTGTGCCACAATAGGTGCATAAGGGCACATTCATTTGGTAGGTATGTATTCAAATGTATACAAGTCATATGAAAATGGACAATATTTGAATGCATATAGAGAAACATTTCGGTACATGTATGTTATTAGCGCTTGAACTAAGTGGTAATTACTACTTTATAATGTTTTTTTTGTACACTACTTTTTTAGGTTTTCACACCCCAAAAAATGGAAATTTTAAGAATGCGATTGCAAAGTGAAATTGAGCTATCTTATCGAAAGGTATGTTTAACTTACATGCATCTGAAGTTAGTGTTACAAGGGACAATTTTCATGGACAATTTGTACTGCAACACATTGGTGAACCAATCAAATTTTGTGTTTACAACATTATTTGCATTACAATTAGTTGTTTGTTGAAAATTGTTTCATGATTGTATACATTGCCTTTCATAAATAATTAAGATCATTGAAAATTTTTATTGCTTCAACAGAGGTTAGAGACGTTAGAAAATGAACTTCAGAGGAGTAAAAGGTGATTAATTTAAGAAAAAATATTGTATACTGTATATGCCTGACATCAGTGCCGTAGCAAGCTCGATAATTGGGGGGCTCATATTCATATATTTGTGTTCACAGACCATAAAAACATTCGATTTCAAAAGAAATTAATAATACAGAGCACCAATATATGAATATGAGCCCCCCCAATTATCGAGCTTGCTATGGCACTGGACATATAGTATCAGTAGCTCAACCTGTCTGCATCATAATTATTTTTATATATACACTGTTAATTTCAGGGAGTTAACTTAACTCCGGTGGAGTTATACTGTACCTCAAATAACTCCAAATGTGGAGTAAAATTAGGTTCAGAATAATACCACTGGAGTTAAATTAACTCCCTGAAATTTATAGTGTATATATATAGCAGTTTGCACCAGGGTCTTAGGATAGTCACTAATGCACTGTTCTACAGTAGTACAGTAGTACAGTATGTAGTTAGTTGTTCAATCTACATGCGTAAAAACGAACAACGTGTTCCCAATTGATATCGACAGATTTGATGAACAAGGTTGTGCTGCAGCCTCAGAACAAGTTGCCAACAATGTTATCAACTCAAATCTTGCTTGACAATTCCACAATCTTTATTTTCTTTCTGTTTTTGTAATTGCCTTTCTAAATAAAAAATGGATTTGATAAGGAAATTGGCGTCCCTTTTTGCACCCTTTTTGTCAAGGCTAGGAGGGTTGCACACCCCCAGCAGTGGTTTCAAAATAAGCCATCGCCCGTCGCATCCGACTGCAACTCTTCCATTTGCGACGGCTACTTTCTCTTTTGTGAGTAACTATAAATTGTAATTAAGTGTTTACAAAATGTTTTGTGAGCAAACAAGCGTGTATTTCCAGTGGAATTTCGTCGAAACATAGCCACAGTCACAGATTACTGGATTAGAAGCTAGTTTGATACGTACGCGTCTCTTGCGTGTTGAGGACAGGCTCAGAGGTTTTCTTGGTAGCTTTTTCTAACAGGTTGTACTTTGTGTATAAAATGTCACATTCGTCTCCAAGAACAAAACAAAATGGCGGAAAAAACGACAAAGAAAGCCAGCGGAGATGCAGTCGCTAATGTTATTGGACGTTGTTGTTATAGGCATTAATTATAAGAACATAAATTTAACAGTGTTTTAGACCTTTAAAATATGATTCTTTGTGTTTCAAAAGCAAATGCTGGAAAATGCATCTTCTAGAGTCTAGAAGTTTAAAATTTTCTGGAAGCAAATTCAAGCAATATCAGGGACTGCGGAATAGGGGGGAGGGCTTTAGCCCCCCCCCCCCCCAATAATTTTCCAAACATATAAGTGATTTTTATAAAATAAGAATACTAAACTCTTTTAGATCAGTTAACAATATACTTATAACATATATAGCCAAGTATTCAATCTATTTCTGGTTGGATTAAACAAATGACGGGTAATAATTAAACGACTCTTAATTAATCTAATATTAGATTAGTTAAGAGTCGTTTATTAAGAAACTTTTTAACAGCAACTAGTGAATTTGATTGCATTTCCGGGGCTCTGGGAGATCACAGATTTCAAAATTTCCCGGGGGAGCATGCCCTAGGACCCCCCTAACAAACTCACGCCTTCGGCATTCGCTATATCCCCCCCTAATCCAAATATGGCTCTGTGGTCCCTGAGCATGCCGTCAGATCCCCCAAGTTGCGAAGTTCGGCCTTCGGTTGCAACTCCTACTCTGCCCAACGCAACGTCTACTATGAAATGTTTTGAAACCACTGCCCCAGTAAATCTATCCCTGTTGAAATATATATGAAAATTAATTAGACATATGTATTCGATCTACGTACTAAATAAATGTAATTAACTTCACTCCTGAATATCATTTAGTGATTTCAACAAACTTCGTTATGATTATTCGTTTCTGAAGTCTGAGTACGAACATGAACACTCACAATATCAGAGAATTCAGGATGAAATAAAGAGCCAGTATGAAACACAGGTGAGCATTTAGCGTATGGTCAAAAACAAATTTTGAGTACGGTACCAGACATTTTCACTTTTACCAACTATATCCCTGTTTTTGCAATGTCCAACATATATTATGCCAATCTCGATCTTGTACAACACTTTATTTTATGTTTTTTACCTGGCCAATGCAATGTAGAGGACGTCCAATTTTTTCATACCCTCAGTTTGTTGACAGTTATAACCAGACAAAATATTACTGGAAAAATTTTTTTGAAAATTTCCGATCATGCAAACATCATTTTGTCGGACATTTCGTCCGTCTGGCGCAGTATTGATAAGGCAAACCATGGTTTTGATTTTCGAAGGCCTGGTGCCTTCACGCATTAAGTGCGTTTCAGCTAGGGGATGTTTTTCCATAGATTGTGAACTTACAACGTGAACGAGACCTCTTGATAATGAAACAGGAAGATCTGAATGATTCACAGCGTGTCAGAACATTGCAGAGAGAGAATACGCAGGTCGGTGAAATATCAAAGTTTCTAGAATTATATGCAGGGGTAGCCAAGTCCGGGGTAGCCAAGTCAGAGGTAGCCAACACATCAACGGCCCTATAACCTAAGGTGGATTCGGAACCCATTTGAAAGAGGGTGTGTACCCCACCGGTTCACAGGAACATGACACTTAGCCCCAGAATTGTTTCCTGTATTAGAATGTTTTACAGTATGTTCAAGCATAGGGTTCAAGTAATGCGAGTACATTTCAGTGCTCTCTTACTCTATTTCCAAAAACATGCCCAGTTCTGTTGTGAGTGCAGATACATGCAAAGAACATAATTTTTAAAGAGCGCTGCACTTAAACGAATAAGTACGGTGTTACTGCATTGCACAATCATGTACGTAGTTTTGATAAATAGATTACCCTTATAGCACAGTAAATTCGCAATATTTAACTATATGTATGTAGCTGTTATGTAGCTGTACTTGCATTGTTTCTTTTAGCTTAATCTTAAAGTGAAAAGTCTGCTAAATGAACTCGAAGAACTGAGAGAGAAACGAGAAACAGCAGGACTACAGTCTGATCATGTAAGTAGGCAACCTAGGGTTCTCTCCCTGGATACGAGGTTGGCAAGTAGGTTCTGCATGAATTGCTCACGTGACTCCATGTCCCTTAAAACTAATAGCAGCTGTGGCGGAATGAACCCCAAAAATGAAAAGAGCTCCTTAATATTATTCAAAGTAGAACGTTTCAGCTTATTGCGACCAGCGAGCGAGCACCAGCGAGCGAGCTGGGAGCATCCTAATCTGTGCATGTGCGTAGAAAATTTAAATATACCGCTGAGTTCGGATTAGCCCCGGCTCAAGATTCACCGATTCACCTCGGCTTGCATTCCATATTTGGAACATATTTCCATATTTGGAAGACCGCATGAAACGGTATTTCCGCCACTGTTATGCCGCCCTGTGTTTTATTTACTCATCGATACTGATGCAATTTTATACATGTACCTTTAACTTTTGTTCATCAAATTGTACATCAAACGAAGCTTAACTTAGCATCTACTAACTGTTGTAAGTCTGTTATTGAAGGCAGATTTAAATAATCAAAAAGATTAAATGCTGTGCATGAGGATGTTGTGATGTATACAAAGAAACGTCTGTTGTTTGAAAGTCATGTGCCGGGCTTTAATATTTATCTTTAAATTGCGCTTTGTCAATTGGTACTGTTATTGACACGTCATGCTATTCATAGAAGGCGACTTTGCGCTGTAGCGACAATATAATCACAAATGTGACTATTTGTTATGTAATTTGTAGCAAGTGACGTAATTGGATACCAATAGACCTTTCCCCTTTTAAGTGAAATTTTGATCTAAGGACAAAAATTTCATACAGCTTGAAAGAGATCACAAATTAGTAATATTCCGAAGTTTCGTTCGAAATGTTGTAAAATGCGGATAATATAGCCTTGCAAGTTGCCGTTTTTCAGTCTTTTGATTACGGGAAATTGATAATCAGTGATCTGGTGGATGACGGTAGATGACAGTAGATGAC